GAGAGAGAGAGAGAGAGAGAGAGAGAGAGAGAGAGAGAGAGAGAGAGAGAGAGCCACGTGTGACGAACACCGGGTATATCCTAGTGCAGCCTGCCAGCAAATTCACAGGTAATGGTCGAGGCGGCATTTTAACGAATCTAGTTAGAAGGCCTGAGGGTATGGGACCACCAATAAAACTCAACAAGGCAATAGGACGCGAAAACCACCTTGGTCAGGTAGACCGAACCTAATCAGACTTAACCATGGACAAATAGAATAGCCAGAACTAGCACGATCGATTACTGTCGGATCACTTTCAATAACCTAAATAGTCGGTAGTAACCTATAAAATCACCGGGGATTTTCTCTATTAGAAACTTTCAATTTAAAAATTTATGGTTTACATCTTATGCGTACTGTGGGATATCGGTCATTTTGAATGCCAGCAGTGCATGAGTATGCAAGTCCGATAATGTTTTTACTCGCAATTGATCATGGTTAGATAGAACATATATCCGGAAATGACGTAGGTAATTACTGAAATTAGCATTGTTTTTAGCGATTTGTTATATAGCAATCCTCACAGCTATACGACGCAATAGAGATGATTTTCGCATCTCTGTATGTATGTATGTGTGCGTGCGTGCGTGCGTGTGTGCGTGCGTGCGTGTGTGCGTGTGTGCGTGCGTGCGTGTGCACGTACGTGAGTGTGCGCGCCTGTGCACATGAAACTTTGCAACAAACTTCTGAAGATATTCATAGAAACTTGGCGGACAAATATCAGAACAGGTTGTCAGGCATCCATGTGTGCGTGCATGCTGCAATTATATACCAGTTATTAGGTACTACTCATTCTATAATGCCGTGTAATCATCGCTAGATATCCTTCACTGCTAACTATATAATACATATATAACAAATTAATTATAATAATTTCATTAATAATTTATTATACTATATTATATAATATATATAACTATAACAAATTAACAATTATATACCAGTTATTAGGTACTACTCATTCAATAACGCCCGTATCATCGCTACATATCATTCACTGCTAACTACCGGCCGAGTTTTCATTACCCGAAATCAAAATACACAAAATCATGACATCAGCGAGAGAGGCTCACCCGCCAGCCGCAAATGGGATAACGTCGTGACTAGCACCCGCTTTGTTCCTGTGCCGGCCATTCTGCCGTTACCAAAGACGGTAGCGCCAACAAGCTTTCGCCACTTCACGCAAATATAATAACAGCTGTGTAGCTTCGCGCCGCTAGCGGAACGACAAAGGTTTGTAATAGTAAGCAAATTAGCAAGCTCTGTGTTCGGAACTCACTGTCAACAACCAGGGCGTTGCCTGCAGAGCTAACGTGTAAGCATAACACGCGCAACGACGAAACGTGTTGTTGTTTGTACTAATATTGTTTTAGAACGTTTCTCCGTAGCCTCCACTTTTACTCGATGTCCGTTTGTAAACGACGACTCTCACTCTGTGGATAGATGTGAGTGTGATAAGCCATGATCCCATCTCTTATAACTCAGAATATTGCTGCGGCGCCTGTACACGCGTGCGTACCGGCGTGCGCGCGTACGTGCGTGTATACGTGTGAACGACCGCGTGTTCGCCTCCCACGCACCGCTCACGTTGTCTCGTCTGGGTCGATCCGCGGAAGATAATCGCGCCATAATATTCATGCACCCTCACCCTATAATAAAACCTCCTGGCGGCGGGCGGCGGACATTGTTCCAGTCGCGGATGATAGCTCATAAACGCCGCATTGTCGCTGTGTTCCGAGAACACGCCGCGCGATGTGAAAGAGACAGCGGCGCGTGAAGGAACGAGAGGAAGGGTGAAGATAGCATGAGATAGAGAGGGGTGCAATAAAAAGGGTAGAGAGAGATATAGAGAGGGATATATGTGTGCGTGTGCGTGCGTACGTAAGTGTGTGCGTGCGCGCGTGTGTGCAGAGAAAGGAGGCACACAAGAGGGAGGGAGTGAGAGAGAGAGCTGTGGCAGAATGAACAGCGGTGGAAGCCACCACAACCGGAGCGGACGCGCTCTGAATATTACCATCGCGTTACTAACGGATGGCGACGGCTTCGATGAAGTAAGGGAGAGGAGGTGCGCTACTATAATGTGAAGCTGACAAAGCCACAGACGATGGCACGCTAGGAAGTGCAGTCATATACACCACTATGCTCAACACGTGCACGCACCTACACACTCACGCACACAGGCCTATATATATATATATATATATATATATGCCTGTTGATGGATGTGGTGGTAGAATTTTTTATTCAACTATTACTTTGCCGAAAGAACTCTCAATGAAATAATTAAGCATGCTTCGTTCGTATGAAGTGAATCATTATGACATCACAAAGCGCCGCGGAATTTCGTCTGAATTAATTCTAGTGGCGCCGAGTTGGCGTTCAGAGTTCTTCATTCACTATCCAAGCGTAAGCGTGTGTAATTGGCTCCAATAAAGCGCAATTTTCGCGCAAATGGAAACCATTCACTCGTAGCTGTAAATTAATAGAAAAATTAAAGGCGAGCTTAGAATGTCCTTATGCATACACTTTAAAAAAAAATCCGCATTCCTGAATAAATTGCAAGAAACTTAGAAATTTTACTTATTATATAAACATTCTTCGCGTTTTTAATACCATATTTACGAAATTGTTGTGGCATATAACTCACACTCACTGTAAACACGCACAGTATAATGTTATTCATTAGTCGAAAAATCCTACATTTCAGGCAGAAGAAAACAAGACAACAATGTTCCAGAACTATATATATCTATCTATATCTATATATATATATATATATATATATATATATATATGTGTGTGTGTACATATATAGATAGTGGTTGCACGCTTTCTCCTGATTTCACTGTAATTAACCCTGACATAGTAATAACGCTGCGTAGACAAAAGCGAAAGAGAAGATTTAACGCAGACGAAATAAACTTTCCGAAGCCTATGATTAACCGTGCTTGGCTTACGCATGAGCACGCCCCGCTAGCTAAGCTAAAATAACAACAGCGTCCGTCTACGTTTCGGCCTCGACATCCACACGTAACGTTGCTGCTGCTGCCTACGTATGTATATACGCACACGCTACACACGTATCCGTCGCTGCGCACAAATGAATCTATTTGAACAAAGACGTGAACAGCGCCGGCGCATGCGCAGAATCGAGCGCCGCTTAGAGGCATCACATGGCCAGCGGGCGATTAACACGCAAGCAGCAATGCAAAACTCAATGTGTGTCAAGAACGCGGCCCGCGTGTAGCGTTTCACGCCACGTGAAGGTTGTAAACGAACGAGCGTGCGTGCGACCGCAGCGTTCATGTACGTATCTATCTCTTTCCCTTTCTCTCTCTCTCTCTCTCTCTCTTTGAATTTCTCTCCCTCCCCCTCCCCCCCCCCTGTCTCTCTCGCTCGCTTGCTCGCTGCCCATTCTCTCTCTATCTCTCTCCCACCCCTCCATTTCGCCTGCTCTCTGTGCTCAACATGAAGCTACGTCGGGTGGCTCTGTCTCGAGGACGTATAGCCGGTAGCGTAAGTAAAGAAGACACGCAGCCATTAACAACACATGTAGTGAGCAGCAGCTGACGTCACTGATGACGTCACAGACATGATACAACCATCAACCCTCCTACAGCTGGCATCTGCCAGTGATAGTTGAAATTGCCGCGCGACCGAAAATAGCCCCGTTTCCATTGTTACACACCTTGCATCTAGGCGCGTGTTTGTTGACACATAGCTTAGTAACGGCCTGAAGTACACATCGTACGCGCGTTTTGCATGAAAGTGCGGTGGTAACCTCGTAATTTCTCACAATTTCTCAAGGTGTATGGAACATATTACCAATTTAGTGGTGTCAGTTAGTCATGGATATGTCACAGTAAGTACTAACAGTAGATGTTTCACATACGTTCACCCATTTTGCACACAGGCGGTCGATCATTGTGAAAAATAGAAAAACGGTGATTTCTCCGTTTCGATTTCTGACATAGTAGCCGATGTATAAATGAATATTTCTCTGTGATTACAACTCGGATTAATTTAATTTTACACTCGTTTCAATGGTAACATATTGCTGTTGAAAAGCACGCCAGGGATTGTTATTAAGTGCCGTATTTTATTAGTTATGCCTCTTTATTCACTAAAATTTTCAATTCTAATACACAACTTGATTTTTAAGCAGTTTTGTGCATTTTTCTCAGTAAATATGAAACCTAAAGAAAAAACCTGATGCGCTATTTTGATACATATTGTGCTTAAAGCCGCACAATGCGCATCTAAACGCTAATTTCTTCAGTACTAGACTAGCAAATACTTCGTGTCATGCATAATCATACTACCTTATGGCAAAATAAACTCTAGTTCCTCCCATTTGACTGCGCGTTCCCAACAAGAAAGAGGTGCGAAATCAGGTAATCAGGCGCCAACGCTAAATTGTTTCAAACAACATAACATCGAAGTGGTGACGTGACGTCACATGTTTTTATCTTTGCTGCGCCCGTACCGCTGTACCGCGGCACCGCTGCACGGTTGCTTGGAGATTGGGGAACTGTCAACAACATCGGAGGTATTTTCAAAATACCTTTTATAAGACAACGCGCAGTGAAATGGGAGGAACTAGAGTTTATTTTGCCATAAGGTAGTATGATTATGCATGACACGAAGTATTTGCTAGTCTAGTACTGAAGAAATTAGCGTTTGGATGCGCATTGTGCGGCTTTAACCTGTGGCGAAAATTTTGCTTCCTCACTTTATGTGGTAATTGAGAAATATCCAAAATACAATTTTTACATAAAAATTCAAAATTTGTGTTGTAACATAATTAGGTGCTGGAAATTTCTTGAAATTTTTTGGCTTGAGCATAGAGATATATCTCCTCTATAAATAAAATGTGTGATTGATTCGATTCATTCGCAAATAAACGTTTAATCTTCATTAGAGCAATACCCGAAGGTGTATTAGAACAATGCAAAGGTGAGTATCCTTAAGATTTGTTTTCTAATTCTATTTTCTCTTTATTATGTTAATGTCTGTTCATTGCTATATTCATCATCTCAGGAGTTCTGTGATTTCGTGTCGTTGAAAACTAAACTAAACCGACACAAATACGATAAAACACTGCGCGCGCGCCAGCACTGCCAGCGCATGCGCACACCCACCCACCGACATCACTGCGTCTTTCACCAGACGCGACCGCTCGATAGCGCTAGCTAATCTAGATACTTACGCATGGGATCGCCTGTCGAGCCGTAACTGCTAGGGTAGCCGGGGCTGTTGCCGTACGGTGACCACTGGTCCTGCGGTGAGTACTGGTGTCCGTCCATTGTGGTTAGACTCATGAAGCCAGCCCGGCCCGCGTAATGCACTGCTGATCAGTGTTTATTCCCCTCGGCCCGGGGCACGGGGTGAGGGTGAGTGGACGAGAGGGTCGCTGTGGTCGCTTCTATCTGAACCGCCCAGACATCTGAGTGTGTGTGGAAGCTCTAAACCTGCGGATGTAAGCAAACAGAATGCGGCACATGAGCGAGTATACGGGATGGATGTTCCAAACCTGGCCGTAAGAAAACAGCAAACACGCGAGCCAGAGCGGATGCTCTAAACCCGATGCAAGCAAACAGCAGACACATGACGGCACGGGGTGCTGCTGCTCTCGCACCTGCACAAGCTCCAGGGATGGTGAAAGAGAGAAAGAGAAAAATATATACATTATCATAGATAGATGGATAGATAGAGAGTGAGAGAGAGTACGGGGAAGAGAGAGAGAGAGAGCGAGAGAGAGGGGGAGAGAGAAAGAGAGAGAGGGGGAGTGGAGGGAAAGAGATAGAGAGAAAGAGCGAGCGAGAGAGAGAGGGAGCGCGAGAAAGACAGATAGAGAGAGAGAGAAAGAGCGCGCGAGAAAGACAGACAGACAGACAGACATAGAGAGAGAGAGAGCGAGAGAGAGAGAGAGAGCGCAAGAAAGACAGAGAGAGAGAGAGAGAGAGAAAGAGAAATACAGACAGAGAAACAGAGAGCACGCGATGGCGGTTGCATCCACACCCAGGTCATCTGTACATCTCCCCCCCCACCCTTCCCCTGCTTCTCTTCCACATCAATCATAGCCATCAACTCTATATATAGATCTGCAGCGCGCACATCGTGGAGAAATCTACGACACTAATGTGTGGTTCGGCACGCAACCTTAGGATTACGGCGTTCTTCTGAACGGTACTATTAACGCATTGTTGCAACCCCGCAATCTTTCTTTTTTTGAGAAAGTGAGTCTGCAAACTGGGTAGTTAACTGCGCACGTTATAGTCACCGACAGTATGTGAAATGATCTGCATACCAATTATCTTGTTAAAGTTAACTTTCTCTTTCCAAATAAACCCTGGATTTTAATTACTCTGTTGTACATGGTGAAGTAATTTATTTACAAAGAAATAATCTGCAGTCGCAAAGTGGGTTCGCTGATTAGAGAACCTAGACACTGGTTGCAATCTGAATGAACTAGATGAATCTAATCCATTGTATTAAAACTATGAATTGCAATTCTGAAAGGGTAGGAATTAATCAAAGGAACTTTTGTCACGAATTGGATTCGCTCATATCATTAACTCTGCCTTTTTCAGAGAGAAAGACAGATCTTCTGCTTTCTCTGACTACGCTGACCAACGCTTGCACAAGCGTCATAGATACTCAACTACCACCAGAATAGCAGGATATATAGCCAGGAAACCCTGCCCGCAGTGAATTTAGCACTCGACGTTCGCGTGCCACTAGACGTATAGATTCTAGGCCACGTCATGTAGCATCCAGTTCTGGCCGCATGCACGGCGTTCGTATCCCGATCGCTCACGACACAGTTCTATTGCTGCGTATGATCCCCAGTACATGATCAGGACACTTACACGCACGCACATGCACACGCAGAGGTACACACGCACAGAGACACGCACACGCACACGGACACACACGCGCGCGCGCGCACACACACACACACACACACGCACACACACACACACACACGCGCGCGCACACGCACACGCACACGCACACGCACACGCACACGCACACGCACACGCACACGCACACGCACACGCACACGCACACACAGACGCGCGCGCGCGCACGCCCACACTAACCTTCATGGACGCGCGCGGACATCCGCCATGACCGGCGGCAAGAGCATAACACGGCAGAAAGTGCCTGCCACCACCGCCACCACCGCCGCCAGCACAGCTGCTGCTGCTGCTGCTTCCTCGATAATACACGCACCCACACTAAATGCCTGCCACCACCGCCACCACCGCCGCCAGCACCGCTGCTGCTGCTGCTGCTTCCTCGCTACAACACGCACCCACACTAAATGCCCGCCGCCAGCACCGCCAGCACCGCTGCTGCTGCTGCTGCTGCTGCTGCTGCTGCTTCCTCGCTACAACACGCACCCACACTAAATGACCTCTGAATGCGTCATAACGGCGAGCATGCAGATACAGACGCATACAAACATCGCTGACCACAGCAGGGTTCGGACCGTGCGCGTGTACATGCGGCGGCGGAGGGGGGTGGTGGCCCAGAATAGAAGAATGTTAGTAAGTGAGGGGGAAGGGGGTAATCTCTGGTATGTCTGGGTCAGCACACACAGGACACACACGCGTACACATGTGTCCCGGCTGCAGCACTGTACGACGGAGGGGGCTATTTAAAAGCAACCTGGCCTAGTTAATTAACCGCTACTACCCAATGAAGGGCAAGGGTCAAACTGGACGTGATCCGCGCATCTGTGGTTTTACAGGCGTGGGAGGAGCCAATAGAGGCAGCAGCAACTTATCGTGCACTATATCAGTTTATCGTGATATTTCAAAACTGCAGAAATAAGAGAGAATGGGATGGCAGCAGTGGAGAGAAGGGTGATGTGGAGAGGAGAAGGGAGCTGATATGTCAAGAGAGGGAGAAAAAAGAGAGGGAGAAAAAAGACAAGAGAAAAATAAAAAGACACGACAAGAGCGGGAGAGAGTGCGAACGGGAGAGAGTGAGAGAGTTGACACCAAGAGGCATGCAGAAACAATGATTACTGATTATGAGTGTAAAATATACGTAGAGAGGTGTAGTAAATTGCTACCGGAGAGTAGCCTATCTGCATGCCCGGTGCCATGTCCACGCACGACCACCAACAGTGTACAGAATGCAACTATTTCTCGTACGCATCCAATACGAACCATTTCGTTGGTAGTTCTAGCCTTGTTTCTCCATCCCAGAGTATCCCGTCCCCGCGCGCTACAGTACTGACTGGTAACCCACACTACTCACCAACTGACCAACGGACAAAGCAATGGGAGGGCAATCAATATTGCAAGCAGCGGCAGCGCACAGCGTCGGCCATTTGACCACAATACAATGACCACTCCGTCTGACCAGCCCCGGGTAGAAATATGAGAAAGCACTTAAGCGGGTCCCAGGAGGCAGCAGGGAGGACGAGCAAGAGAGAGAGAGAGAGAGAGAGAGTGAGAGAGAGAGAGAGAGAGAGAAGAGAGAGAGAGAGAGAGAGACGAGAGAGGAGGAGGAGGAGAGAGAGGAGAGAGAGAGAGAGAAGAGAGGTACGGAGGAGGAGAGAGAGAGAGAGAGAGGTAGGAGGAGGAGGAGGAGAAGAGAGAGTAGAAGACG